CCACAGGGGACCTGTCCCACCTCGCATCCATCCTCATCCTGCTGCACAAGATTCAGACGACACGTTCATGTAGAGGTCCGTCTTTCTCTCAGCCGTATATCGTTCTCTGGTCGTTCTGAGCTACGACTCAGGTATCTCCTTCAAAACACAGGCACTGTACGTGACCGTATTCGTCGCGCGATACCTCGACCTCTTCTATGACTGGGTATCACTCTACAACTTCTCCATGAAGGTCTTCTTCATCTCCAGCAGTATATACATCCTCTATCTCATGAAGGTCCGATTCCGGCCAACCCACGACCCTTCAATCGACACCTTCCGCGCAGAATACCTCGTCGGTCCATGCGTGGTCCTTGCCTTGATATTCAACTACAAATTCACCTTCCCCGAGGTCCTCTGGTCCTTCTCCATCTTCCTAGAGTCCGTCGCGATACTTCCACAGCTATTCATGCTGCAGAGGACGGGGGAGGCAGAGACTATCACGACACATTATCTAGCGGCGCTGGGCGCGTATAGGGCACTGTACATTCCCAACTGGATTTACAGGTGAGTTGGATGCATATTCGCCGTGTTGCTATCGTGGATGCAACACGTCTTACAATTTTGGCTCTGCAGGTACTTCTCGGAAGGTGTGGTCGACCCAATTGCCGTCATAGCAGGTCTTGTCCAGACAGCTCTTTATGTTGACTTCTTCTATGTATACTTTACAAAGTATGTGGTCTTTGGTTCACTTCGTGAAACTATCACTTATGATTCCGGCTTCTCCGTCATATATGAATCTTTTGTAGGGTTCTACAAGGACAGAAGTTCGAGTTGCCTGCATGATATCTTGTTACTGGACTCTATCTAGTCACCTCACTGCAGGTGAATAAAATTGTAGAGTCGGGCTGGCTGAGCCGCATACTAGTATTTAAGCCTATGAATTCACATAAATCGCGAGCGAAATAATAGTTTGATTATTGCGAAGTCGAAGTTCATTCAATATTAATGCAATCGTGTCCATTCAATACTATGCAAGCGCCTGTTTGAGTACTTACCGTCACAGCATACTCACCTCCTACCACCACTCAGCTCGCCCGTAGGCTGGTCTCCCTACCGCCCCTACTGTGCCTATCAGTACTGGGACACTCTCGCATATACTCTACTTCACGCAAACACACACTCAGGCACCATGCGTTTCGCCGGGTTACTATGTTCCACGCTGGCCCTGCTCAGCCCACTCGGGGTCTTCGGTGCTCTTGACGACAACGCCAAGATTGCCAACCGGACGATTGAGAGGGTGAGTGTCGTGGATAATGCAGAGATCTGTGGCTCTGCCTCGTGTGGAGAATGGGTCAGGGTTGGAGTGAACGGGTGAACGAGAGCAGACGGGATTTATACAACCCCGCGGAATACATACGCACCAGACTTGCTGAATACTACCTGCATTGGCGAAACGTGTACGTTCTGGGAACGAGATAGCTAATTATTGATTTGCTCCGCCAGACAGTTGCCCTCCGGACTCATTCACTATACGCCCCATACATTGACCAGGACTTGCAAAATCGGTTTGTGCACGACCATCTCTACTTACACGGTCACCTTACCTTTACATTTTCAGATGGTGGGACTTTGGAGCGGATGCCATTGTCGTAAGTGACATGTACTCCGTTAATGGATAGCCGTCGACGCCTCTATTTCCTCAGAATACCAATAAACACATCCGTTTGACGCGTAACCGGCCATCACAAATGGTACGTACCTCCCCATTGCATCGCGGGGGGAATCGACTCTGAACTTTGGTTTTCCAGGGTTGGCTATGGGCGCGTCTACCAATAACTGCCGCAAACTTTGTCATAGAAGTGGAATTCAAAGTCTGTAATATCAGCAGTGGTTTTTGTTTTTGTTTCTCTCTCTCTCAACTGACTGGTTATGTTCAGATTTCTGGAGAGTCGAGCCATTTGTATGGTGACGGTATGGCCATTTGGCTGACTACGACACGCGCACAGCCGGGACCAGTATTCGGAAGCGTTGGTAAAGTATTTAGCGCATACGTTTTTACCAAACGCTAATCTGTCCCACTGTATAGACAACTTCGAAGGTCTCGGATTGTTTTTGGACACGTATGCCAACTCACGACACGCGTACTCGTTTCCGCGCGTGATTGGAATGCTGGGAGACGGCAAGACAAGCTATGATGTAGGGGGTGACGGAGAGAAGACTCAGATCGGAGCATGTTCTGCCAATTTCCGCCGTACAAACGTTGCGACGAAGCTCAAGATAACGTACATCAAGGATGAGTCTCTCAATGTAAGTGCCTAGGATTTCTTTTCTGCGAAGCAAATCCACTCAGCCGTGGTCGATGTCTTAGGTGCAAATCCAATACAAAGCTTGTTAGTCCTGCAACGCTTCACTGTCTGCTCTCTTGCAAAAGGCTGATGTCTGCTGTTGTTTACTCTAGGGGACGACTGGACCGACTGTTTCACTGTTAACAAGTTCAGCCTTCCTAGCGCTCCATTCCTTGGTGTCTCTGCGATGACCGGAGATGTCTCTGACAACCAAGAGTACGTTGTTCTCTACGCTCTCTTCCCAAACTCTTCCCAAACATGCTCTTTTTTTGCAGTATCATCAGCGTCACCACCTACTCTGCCATTCTCTCCAGCCCCGAGGCTCAGCGAGATCAGTTCAGGAACAATCGCCCGACCGACGCCGGCTCGTCGTGGCTCTGGACGATCGGAAAACTGCTGTTGTTTGTTGCGTTCGTGGGCGGTGCTTTGCATGGCTACAAGACCTATGTGCTGCGGCAGGCAGGCCCAGGGGGGGCCAAAGGGGGCTTTGGTGGAATGGGCATGGGCCCGAGGTCGCCTTCTGGGTTCGGTGGTGGGCTGTATGGCGATTCGAAACGATTCTGAGTAGCACGGTTTGTGTAACTTTATGGATAGTGGGATTTCTCAAGCATTTGCTCGCATCCGTTCCACGCGCACTCCTTGAAAGGTCAGCATCGGCACGTTCTCTCTGTCGTTCACGCCTTCATCAAGTGCGTGGTGGGAAGGATACTGCTTTCGTCTTTCACTCGACCTTGACATTTGCAACAGCGGCATCTTCTACACGGAACAGATTTATATACGATTATTCAAAATAAGCCTGGGATATTGTTGTGGTCATTTCCATTTGGCAGCTGGAATGACGGCACTGCGAGTCGCCTGTTACTACTAGTTCGCACCCTCCACATCCCGCACAGGTTGACAGAATATTGTGCCCTACACACACTCTTGTAAATCCTCTCCTATCTTAGCTGGTTAATCTAAAAGTACGACTATAGAAAGCCGTATCATGACCGACACCTTCAAGGAGGAGTGGATGACCGGCCCTGAGGGCCATCAATTCTACACCCGCACGTACGCAGCCCCCGCGGTCCCAAGTGCGATTATCCTCTTCGTGCACGGCTTCGCCGAACACATCGGTCGGTACGAGCACATCCACAGCAAATACCCTACGCGGAACATCACGCTGTTTACGTTCGACCAGAGGGGCTACGGACGTACCGCGCTAGATGTCGCACACAGGAGCAAGGACAGTGCGTATGGCAAGACGAACTGGACGTGGCAGATGGGAGACATCGAGCACTTTGCAACGTACCTAGCCAAGGAACACCCTGGGGTGCCTTTGTTCCTGATGGGCCATTCCATGGTGCGTTCTATCATATCGCATGAAAATTCAAGACCGTGGATCCCTGCGTTGATACATGATGTCTCTACAGGGCGGTGGGCTCGTACTAGCTTACTTCACTCGTCCTTCTGCACCACCGTCAGAGGAGGGTGTCAAGCTATTCTCAGGCGTCATCTCCTGCAGTCCCTTCCTCACCTTGACGACTCCCAAACCCAAGCTGTTACGATGGACAGGAGCTAAGCTGGCCTCCCTGGCTCCATACACACCCTTCCCTGCTGATCCTGGCGTCGAAGTGAGCCTTGAACGTGGCATGATGAGTACATGTGTCGTGTAGTGCTGACACTATGCCATCCAGTTTTTGTCTCGAGATCCAGCCGCCAAGGTGGCTTATTGGAAGGACCCTCTCATCAAGCGTATAGGTACCTTGAAAGGGCTGGATGATATGTTGACCGGTGTAGGTGGTACTGCTTTGGACCGCATTCCATCTCTTGGTTGATGGTCACTGTTTGTAGGGCGAGACATTGGTTGCGGAAGGGTGGACGAGATGGCCCAAGAATCTTCCTGTTCTCTTCATCCATGGTACCGGAGATGGGGCACGTATTTTTAATTCATTTAACAGCCTTGACTACCCCCCTCTTACAAGTACTAAACCCACTCCACGCTCTAGGTGACCTCGCCCAAATCAACGGAGAAGTTCTATACCAATGCCATTGCTGACGATAAGAAGCTCTCCCTATACGAGGTACGCCAGCCTCGCCCGCAGCAGTTCACACGTTTTGTCCTCCTTCTTTTCGTATATTGACTAAGCGTCTCACATGTAGGGAGGCTTTCATGAACTGGTTCTCGATATTGATGGCATACCTGAGCGGCTTTTCGACGAGTGTGTCTCTTGGGTCAATGCGCACATAGCCCCTAAGGTTCAGGAGGCGAAGCTTTGAGAGTCCTACAACCGTCAGATTCCGTACAGCATATGTTTAGACTCACATCTCCACGCGGTGGACTAATTATTGCGGTCGTTGTCGCTGGTTATCTTACCGATATTATGCAATATTTTTCGCCGTCATTTTTCCTACCTTGGAATGCCGTTCACAAGTCTCCAGGGACGAGACCACAAACGCACGTTGCCAATGCAATTCCACCCCAGATTGTCATTAAGACGGCGCAGAGAAACACTTCTACTATGGTTTCTCTACATACTTTGTGTCTAATAAGATGATATATTGTGTAATAACTCCGAAAATTCCTACATGAGGTCGTAGGGGATCCTAGGCAACCGGGTTCTTAACTAGCATGTGCCGTGTTTGAACTTTGGACAAAAAGTGAAAAACAATGTCCAAAATTAGATTTAAAAGAGCTGCTACCAGGGTTCGAACCTGGGTTCCGGGAATTTAGATAATATCAAAATCCCGAGTGATAACCACTACACTATAGCAGCTTATTTGCGGAATACAATAGCAAAGATATTGCCCTTTACGGTACAGTTATCTTAGAATACACGGTTAAATTATCTAGGTTCTTGTCACAATCATTCGTGACCTACACTTGGAGAGTTTCTCATACATGGTGTTGACCCCATCTTTTCAATACCTTGGTGGCAATGCTCCCTGGTTCTACTACACAATGTGTACAACCTGTGCGGCCTGTTTTTTTCTGTTAGATGGGCTGTCAATTGATTGATGCGTATTGCCGTGGGTGTGAAGCTTCTATCAACGAGGTGATAGATCTGATATTAATGAGCAGCATTGGTTTTACCTATTAATAGCACGCAGAACCATTGCACCTGAAGATGCTAATCCCCAATGCATTCTATGTGACAAACGACGAGCCCTTCCTTACATACACCCAAAGATCAAGAAATATTCGTATTTAGGTTGGAGTTTATTATTGTGATGTGGGCCACCGTGCCCCAGTAGTAGCATCTACTGTACAGTCTGTCAGCGTCAGTCAGTCGTCCGCGGCGAGCCTCACACACCGGATGTTCGATTCCGGGAGGTCGCGTGCATCAGTCAGTGGCAGGTCTCCAAAGGGGACTGCCAACCACGAAAGTCCGTAGGGGAAACGAGATTCTCTGCGGCAGGGTTCAGATAAGTCCAGGCCACCATCACTGGCCTGGCATGGGCCTCTCTTTTTATTTATTCGCTTTTACCGTCTCTCATTCTTTGCAAGTTCAGACCGGTGAACCTTGGGGTTCTTGCTTTGGAACGCGAGATTGGAGGGTTTCTTTCTGCTTTTATGCAAACATTGCAATCAAGAACTTTGTGACAGTAGCGCAACTCTACACATTCGGACAGTAAACGGAACAGCAGACTTCTCCACTGCGAATACGGAGCTCGAGGATGAACGCATCCAATACAAACCTCGCATAGCCCCAATATGAAGATACAAGATTCTCTTCAAGTATACGGTCTTACCAGTGACTCGAAGGCCACCCCAATCCTAGTATTAAAGCACTAGGTGTTCAAACAAGTAATATACGAGAGGGGTATAATTGAGACAATCTATAAGAAATGCAACAAAACCGACCACTCTGTGTCCGATGCCCCCCACCTCTACATACTGTCGTCGTCCGAACGACAGTCGTGCGGCGGCAAGGTCTTGAACTGGCAGGCGACTCGGGGACATGATTAAGAAGACTAGATACAGTCCGCCAGAAGGGTGAAAGAGGCGTATATACAGAAATGACAGGGGGTATGAGACCAGGGGGTGGGGTAGTAGTACGCGAATGGAACAGACAAACAACAAGCTAACAAATAGTAGCAACGGAAGAGGGGGGTTGAAAAGCACATACAACAGTCAATAGAATACAGTACAGCGGGGGATGTATCGCGTTGGGGAGCAAACGTACCGAGAGGGCGGGTTATAAGAGAGGAGGGGGTACGAAGTGCTATGTATTTATGACCAGTATCGGGGGAAAGGGAGAAAAAGCAAGTTAAAAATCGTTCCTAGGCGTGAAAAGATCGTGTAAAAAACCGAACATACAATGCGAACCGACTTTGACCAGAGTTCCATTCGGTCGCTGCCTTGACGTTCCCGTCCGCGAACGAGATAGTGCATTCACGGACGGAAAACGCCCCCCTACGACAACTAGTTTTCTTAGCCTTACTCAGCCATATATGGACACCAACTCCTCGACAATTCGCATCCTGGGCGAGTCCCCACAAACTGCAGAGAAGAATGGGGGAACTCAGAGAGCAAAGATGATTGCCAAAGCCGCAAGGGGGAGCGCGAGAGCACTACCGAGCACAGCGTTACGCTCTGCGGGGTTACTGGAAGCGCTAGGTGCCGAAGAGCTAGACGTGCCAGAACTAGAGCCACCGTTTGTACCCGACGAGCCAGGTGATGTCGCAGAAGGCGATACGCTTGACGAGGTAGCAGTACCGTTCAAGCGCTCGGCGTTACGCTATGCAAATAAGCAGATAAGCATCGAGTTTAATTTACCAAGGACGACACGGAAGAAGGGGAAGGCAATACTTACAGCGAAGCCCAACAATGTCTCGGTTGAGCTGTCATTGGCGTTAATCACACCCACACCACCCTCGAAGCACGTCGAGTTGTCGTAGAACCAAATCGCAGTGAAATTATCGTTGATGGTGACGGGAAGAGTCGTGCGCGTTGAGCCGTTGTCGGCAGGTCGAGGTCCAGAATTGAATCCGTTGATGGCTGGGTTAATATCGCTGATTGGGATACACGGCGAAGCGAAAGCTGCCTGGATCACATCGTACGTGCCGTTTGTGACTAGCCAATACAAAAGCGCAGATTAGCACACTGGGAATTATAACATACGTGACGGTAGTGGCGGGAACATGAATTGATCGCATGAAGGGATGGAGAAACTTCAGAGAACGTTTCGGCAGAAAAGGCACCGGGAACGCGCCTGCGGAATACCTGGTTCGGCGAAAAACGCCCACACATGTCGCATATAGATAAGGAGGGCATGCAAAAATAGCGTGGGCACGACTGGACATGGTCTGGCCGTGTCAAACGGCAGGGGACCAGCTACAGTGGATATTTGATCTTGTGATGACTTACAGTTGAACACGACGATGTCACCTTGCTGAGCATGCACCTCCTGGGGCTGGAAGATCAAGCTGGCATTAGCGGTTGTGTTTGCACCAACTTGGATGGTGAAGGTCTCTGCAGAAGCGACGGACGCAACGAGCTAGAGTATAAGGAACGCGTCGAAAATAAACGAGGGGGGAAAGCGCGAAAAAAGCGCGTAAGAACATGTCTGTTGCTGGTGAAGCGTGTGTCTGTACTCACGGCGGCAACGAGGAAGGAGGCACAGCGCATCGTGAGAGACGGCGAGGACGGTGGTAAAGACGGGGAGAGACGAGGGTACGGTCGTGAAGCGGGAAGATGGGGATGGTTGGCTTTTGAGGATGGTCGCTTAGAAATGCGTGCGAAGATTCGGGAACCCAACAAGACCAAAGTCGAACAAGAGTCTCAAAGCATACATCCACGCGGCCTTGACATGGCAGGGAAGTTCCCATTAGGGCCCGCTTCCAGACAATCTGATTGGTCGAATTTCCTTCAGATAAGACCCCAATGTTATTGACGTCAGTGATATACATCATTTTACGGCCCTGTTTTATCACGGAATAATAATATTAACATGCAAATGACAGCGAGAGGAAGGGAACAAGCACCAGGAGGATACTGCGGTGAGCGAGCAGACGATCAGCCCAGGCCTGTCAAACTCACCAGTCCATTCTTCCGAACACGCTTCACGGGCGGTGCCGAGAAACGCACCATCCCATCAATCCCATCAAAGGTTGGTGCTTTCTATATACGGACATGTCGCTCCACTCCATCGACCAAACCGACTGTCTGGGCAGGAGCCTGCAGGAGCGCGTACCTCCTCCGTCATTTTCCAAGTATTTGCAGCAATTTTCCGGCCCTTTTATCAACAGCGCGGAGCATCATGGAAAGCACCCACTCGGTGATAACACGACGTGATGCGTACGGCAAGCACGCAGATTGATGACAGCAGCATGCAGGCCCAGAAAGGACTCGACTAGTATGGCCACGGTAGAATAGTGCATCGCAGGTCTTCGACTCAGCATGCGTGCTGCAGAGAAGCACGAAAGCATCCCGAGGTTTATCACAGCTGTCGATTTGGAACCGAACAATATTTAAGTAGTTGTTTCGAAATAGTATGATAAACGCAAGATGCACCTTGTCACAGGACTAGTCCTCTCGTATTAATGATATATCGTAAAAACCTGTTTTGGAACATCGTTATTGTATTGCTGTACATTGTATCCAGGAAATGTGATGCACTAATTCAAGCTCTGATTTTTGCTTTGACCTCTACGTATCGCTCATGTGCACTGTGTTTTCAAGCTTCAAGCTTCCAGCCTAATACGGTGCGGTGCGGCTCGGAAGACGTCCCAGCGCTCCGTCACTGGCAGTTTTGGCGCGCCGACGACCTCATTTCCCGAGTCCTCAGGACAAGACCATGTAAATTGGGACACGACGTGACTCTACATGCAACCCTTCACACAGCTACGCATATATTACTCTGGCAAGCTCAGTCTGCGGAAGCAATTTCGATCAGCACCTTAATTACGACATACAGTTCGGGGGCGTGTCGTACAATCACTTCGTCCTTCTCAGTCCGTATAGAGTCACCGGGTGAAAGCCGTTACAAGTTGTATGGTGGACGACGAGTGCGGTGGTGAGCCTAAGTTGTCCGGACCGTTGTTGTCATCATCTGACCACAGTAAATTATCCTTCTGTCCTGTTGTTCACTGATCAGCGCTCGTCATCGTGCTGCTTCCATGTGTTCAGTGGAGACCACTACTCTGAAGTGTTCCACTGATAAATTTTGCCCTCAAATTCCACCTTCAGTTTCGTTTTGACCGCATATACGCACTTCGAGTCGACTCAAATAGGAGAGAAATGTCAACATGCTCTCGGGCGCCATCATAGACATCCTGCTTCGCGTTTGGACTTGGTTTTGCATAGGAAGCTGGACACCGTTCCGTTTGGATATTCTCCAGTACGTCCTTCTGTCTCTGTCTGAGACTGTCATGAGTTATGGAGAAAGTCATCTGATAACGCGGCCGTTCGAGCGAGACGGTCAGCGTCCTTCTCCAACTTGATGCTTAGCACCAAAAACATGCTTCTCGAAGACACACCGGCGCGGTGATATGCGCGTTGTAGACCTCTTGACCAGTCTGACCGATGCAGTGCTCGGATTCTATGTAACAGACTAGCATATAGCCAGTCCTTGTAAGAATGAAGAGTCGACATGGCTCCTTATTCTATGCAGACCCTCATCTTGTTCGCGTATCTGATCTCGCTGGTTTCTGTGTATAGTGCTTCAAGTGCGGTTCACAGCGCAGGGACCCCGCTGGATTTGTCTGCTTTCTTCAATGCAAAGGCAGCTTCGACAGGCCTCAATGATTCGTTCGCTGATTTCGACGGAAGCGG